TTTGGCTGTGGGTTTCTGTGTCTGTTTCCATCAGTTGCTGGGCACTGATATTTATGGACACCTAATTTTTGATAAAAAGCCAGAAATATACAATGGAAAAAAGAAAGCATCTTCAACAAATTGTGTTGGTTTAACTACTGGATGTCAACATGTAGAAGAATGCAGATAGATCCTTTTTTTTTTTTTTTTTTTGGTTTTTCGAGACAGGGTTTCTCTGTAGCTTTGGTGCCTGTCCCGGAACAAGCTGGCCTTGAACTCCCAGAGATCTGCCTGCCTCTGCCTCCCGAGTGCTGGGATTAAAGGCATGCGCCACCACTGCCCGGCCGATAAATCCATTTCTATCACCTTACAAAAAACTCAAGTCCAAGTGGATCAAAGACCTCAACAGAAAACCAGATACACTGGACCTGACAGAAGAGAAAGTGGGGAATAGTCTTGAAAGCTTTGGCACAGGAGACAACTTCTCAAACAGAATACCAGTTACAAAGGCACAGAGATCAATAGTTAATAAATGGAACCTTGTGAGACTGGAAAGCTTCTGTAAGACAAAGGATATCATAAAAAGGACAAAATGGCAGCCTACAGAATGGGAAAACACCAACTCCACATCTGACAGGGGGCTGATTTCCAAAATATATAAAGAACTTAAAGAACTAGACATCAACAAACCAAATAACCCAATTAAAATAATGGGTACAGATCTAAACAGAGAATTCTCAATGGAGGAATCTCAAAGGGCTGAGGGTAAACTTTTCTCTCTCTCTCTCTCTCTCTTTCTCTCTCTCTCTCTCTCTCTCTCTCGAGAGACAGGGTTTCTCTACATTGTACTTGCTATACTGATCTCACTCTGTAGACCAGGCTGGCCTGGAATTCGCTCTGTGGGCCTAATTTTTCCACTTGATTCTGATGTATTGGTCCCAGTGTTGTTCTCTGAATATCTGAGGCTAAAGCACCACAGGCTCTGGGCTCTTGCTATGCTACCAGCGCCCTACAGAACACTCATCTACTCTGCCTGGCTCCTTCCTTCCTTCAAGCTGCGCAACTGTTTGTTTGTTTGATGCTTCCTATCTGACACTCTGGGCTTGAACCACATGGAATTTCTCAAGTCTGGATGAGCTGAAAATGCAGCCTATCTGGCAACACTGTACTTCATCGGCTGGAGAGCACCGCCTGGCTGGAGCCTGGTGCACTCTCTCCAGTCCACCACAGCCCCAGGGTTTCTCACTGTCATCTCTTACCCTCTGTCCCTGCCCCTCCACACACGAATATGTGACCCTTGTCCCAGTCACTGAACTGGCCCATGGACATGGAAGGTACAGGATCATCACCTCTGCCAAGTGGTTTGCAATCTGCTGCTGCTTCTAACGGGGGCAGAGCATTTCCCCATGACCCTGCCATGGGCCAAAGCTAACAGTGTGCAGAGTACCCAGCTACACATCTTTAAGGGCTGTTCCCACCAGGAGACGGTTGTGAAGCATGTGGAGGCCCTGGGAGGCGCTGCTGGGATTTTGGAGGGAAGAGCCCCTTCAGCCAGCTTGGTTGTGAGTGGGATACATTTGGTAACTGGAGTTACGTGACATCCATCCCTTCAAGTGCACTGACACGACAGATATGGCCTGGGAACCTTGTGTGGCTGCTGATGGAGGACTCACGTGTAGGGTTATGGAGGAGACTAGGTAAATAAGAAGACAAAGGTGGGGGCTGGAGAGATGGCTCAGGGCTTAAGAAGCATTTGCTGCTAGTGGCACAGGCCTTTAATCCCAGCATTCAGGTGGCAGAAACAGGCAGATCTCTGGGGAGTTTCTGGTCCACATAGTGAATTCAAAGCTATCCAGGGCTACATGAGACCTGTCGCAAAAAACCAAAACCAAAAACCAAAACTGCAGAACTTCCTACTGTAGTAGAGGATCTGGGTTTCATTCCCAGCACCCATATTGAACAGCTCATAACTCTGGGTCCAAGGGAATAGTCCAGTGTCCCCTCTTCTGGCCTCCATGGGCACAGCACCTGCATGCATGTGGTGCAATACACATATACACATAAAATTAAATAAACCTTTAAAAAAGAAACAAAGGAAGGACAATATGTCATCCAGCTCTTGCCTGGCCCGTGGCACGAGTTCTGGCCAACTCCGAAGGAGACTGAAGACTAGAAGCTGAGTATCAGGTATAGATGTGGGATACTGTGAGTCTCTGGCCTCAGTCAATGCCACTGTGGAGTCAGGTGACCCAGATGGACTCAATGAGAGGATGGGAGCTTTCCCAAATGCTCTCAAACTACACAGCAACAGTGACAGAATTAGGCACTGTGTGCGTGGGTGTGGGGGACGGGTAGATGCCAGAGGGGCAGCTGCAGCCTCTAGTGTGCTGGCAGGAGAGGGCACAGAGCAGGTGACAGAGCAGGTGACACTCCTAGGGCTCCAGGGCTGACAGTCCTTTAGGAAGAGACTGCAGTGGATGGAGACCAGAGTCCTGATTCTGACCAGTAGGTCCTGTCGGGCTTTCTAGACACAATACCAAGGATGCTCTGAGGAGGTGTGGCCAGCTTCTGTCACGTGAATATGGGAGCTCAGAGTCAGGTCTTGGGAATCATCACGAAGCTAGGATTCACGTGCACTAGTTCACCGGCTAGTGAGGCTGGGGCGGGAAGGTTCTGCGTACTCTGCCCACACCCCACACCCCTGCACACTCTGTTCACACCCCACACCCCTGCACACTCTGTTCACACCCCACACCCCTGCACACTCTGTTCACACCCCACACCCCTGCACACTCTGTTCACACCCCACACCCCTGCACACTCTGTTCACACCCCACACCTCTGCACACTCTGTTCACACCCCACACCCCTGCACACTCTGTTCATACCCCTACACCCCACACCCCTGCACACTCTGTTCACACCCCCACACCCCTGCACACTCTGTTCACACCCCACACCCCTGCACACTCTGTTCACACCCCACACCCCTGCACACTCTGTTCACACCCCACACCCCTGCACACTCTGTTCACACCCCACACCCCTGCACACTCTGTTCACACCCCACACCCCTGCACACTCTGTTCACACCCCACACCTCTGCACACTCTGTTCACACCCCACACCCCTGCACACTCTGTTCATACCCCTACACCCCACACCCCTGCACACTCTGTTCACACCCCCACACCCCTGCACACTCTGTTCACACCCCACACCCCTGCACACTCTGTTCACACCCCACACCCCTGCACACTCTGTTCACACCCCACACCCCTGCACACTCTGTTCACACCCCACACCCCTGCACACTCTGTTCACACCCCACACCCCTGCACACTCTGTTCACACCCCACACCCCTGCACACTCTGTTCACACCCCACACCCCTGCACACTCTGTTCACACCCCACACCCCTGCACACTCTGTTCACACCCCTACACCCCTGCACACTCTGTTCACACCCCCACACCCCTGCACACTCTGTTCACACCCCACACCCCTGCACACTCTGTTCACACCCCACACCCCTGCACACTCTGTTCACACCCCACACCCCTGCACACTCTGTTCACACCCCACACCCCTGCACACTCTGTTCACACCCCACACCTCTGCACACTCTGTTCATACCCCTACACCCCACACCCCTGCACACTCTGTTCATACCCCTACACCCCACACCCCTGCACACTCTGTTCACACCCCACACCCCTGCACACTCTGTTCACACCCCCACACCTCTGCACACTCTGTTCATACCCCTACACCCCACACCCCTGCACATACACACCTCCTTGTCCCGAAGGGTGTATCATCATCACTTCCCCACTCTGCTCAGATAAAGACAGATAAGTATCGACTGAGACTCAGAATGGTAGCATCAGAACCTGGGGCAGCAAGGGCGGTCTGAGGACCCTAGGCACTGTGAGGGGTGAAGGCAGACAGCAAAGCAGGTGCAGGGACAGAAAGTGTAGATGAGGACCCAGTAGAAAACCTAGCTAATACTGCTAGACACTAAACCTGGGCAACGGACGAACAGGTATGGACTATCTAACGGTGACACGTTCTTATACAGTGTCTGGGAGTGTAGGAAGAGACACATCATTGGTCATGTGGAACAACTGACAGGAGCATTTCAAAACAACTTACATTTCACAAGCAAAAAGTCCCTGAATTCCTGGTGGTCTGTAAACACCGGTGGGGATGGCAAGGGTGGGCCAAAAAGTGGCACACTTTCTTCTGAAAATATTTTCAGCCTATGTAGAGAACATTCCAGAATTAGTTGGTTCTCTTCTTCAAAGATCACCGATATTTTTGCAAGTCAATGTGTCCAGAGATCTATGTACTATGTCACCTCTGAGCACCCCCTTCCAGGGGAGACCCAGTCTTTAGGGTTAATCCACTAGCCTAAGGTGGATTAATGGTGCCCTGAACAACCATGCACACTAGGCAGGAAGTCTGGACTTTAAGGCTTGCTCAACATGCCAGAGGTACTTGTACTCCTTCTTCACCGGATTCAAGGTTCCAAGGGGATGAATACTTTTCACAAATCTTTGAAGTCAGTAAAAGACTGAGCTGAAGTTCAAGCCGTCTTCCCTAACTGATGGAAATCAGCATTCCTTTCACGACATCTTTCTAACAGATTAGTGTGAAGAAACGTATGGACATGTGGGCAAGGTGTAGTCTAGAGGAAGGGCACGGCGGCCAGGGTCAGACAGAATGACTTCCCTACAAAACACCAAACTAACCCCGACCCCTGAGCCGCTGGACACAGCAATACTGTATGGAGTGAAACTTTTCCTAAAGAGAGGTGGCTTTTCAGGATATCTAGAAGGTGAGGACATGTCTAATAAGCCATCTATTAATAAGAAGAAGGTGCATAAAGATTCTCCGAGCATCACTGCCAACTGTGAAGCAAATGTCAGGATAAGAACAATAGAGATGAGGTCATCACCTACCTGTAATTGTCATTTTGCTGGTCATACCTCACTAAGGCAAAAATATCTGTGGGGATAGTCAAGGCAATTCATCAGTATCCTTGATGCTCACACCTGACAGCTTGGGCCCTGAAAATCCTTGCTGTAGAAGAGTTCTTGAGTGAGCCTTTCTGTGACTAGGCACCTTCTGCTCTTAGGTTGGGACAGAAAGCCACCTTTTTAGGACAGACAGCCTTGGAGAAGACACATCAGAGCCCCGTGTCTGGGGTTAGCTTCTGTCTGCTCTCCTGCTGGGAAAGGGTTAGATGACTCCCCCAAAGCAGCAGCCAGCAGAACCAAAGGAACAGTTCCCTTGCCTGGAACCCGAAAGGGATCCTGTCATGCATGACTCACGGATTTCATCCACACATTCTGAGATGGGAAAACAATCGCGGTGTTTCTACCGTGCACCTTCCCTCTCCTCCTGCTGTGGTAGACAAAACAGCACCAGAGAACAAGCCAAGGCAGCTGGTAGCAGCTTCAAAGCAGAGTCGACTCTGCTTGGGCTGGAGCCCGAAGTGTCCAGAATAGCTCAACTGCTCAGGTGTGGATCAGTGGCAGAGCATTTGCCTAACACGTGGGAGGCCTGGGTTCCATCCAGCACTTAAGAAAAAAGGATAAATATGTTATGGGACTTCCATCTCAATATAACTCTTAAAAAAACAAACTCAAACAGTACAACCACCTGCACGGAGTAGTTTTTTGCCTGCCCTGCCCTCCTTTCTCATGGCCAGCCTTGCTGCTGTCTAGGGCTGAAGACAGCAGCCTCGGGTACTCACTCCTACGCTCTGTGAGATGAACTCATATTAACTGTCTTTTGGTTCTTTTTAGAATCCCATGTGTCAAGTCCAGTGTGGAGAATCTCTGACACCACAAATCCCCGTCTTCCCTGCTCCACTCAGAGAACTTTTCTGTCAGGCAAGAAAAATCACCATAAAAACGGGAACTGTTAGTGCCAGACAATGAATGGGGGCACCAGGGCGTAAGCAGGACACTCACATGGGCTGGCTTCCACTTACTTGTCATCTCCTACCCTGGGGAAGAAATCTGGCCATTTCTACTTTTAAACATTTCCTTGCAAGTTCAGTTTCAGGAGACGGTCAGAATATAGGGAGCAGCGTCACCCACAGACACAGGAGGCACAGGACCCTGTTTCTGGGTAGAGGTGTGGTGAGGTCAGGCTTCATTCTGAAAATGCTACTGCATGTCCTTTACTTGCTGTGGCTAACCTACCGAGTCACCGCCTTTGAGTTCTGCTCTCGTGGTCTGTGACCATGGCAAGTGAACAATGGCTAAAGTCTGCTGGTGGACCAGGATGAGAAACACATGCCCTGGGGCTGCCTGGCTGAGCACTGAGGTCACTCCCCCATCATGCCCTGGGGCTGCCTGGCTGAGCACTGAGGTCACCCCTCCATCTACAGTCTGAGCTGAGCAGGACTAGGTAAAGTGAACAACATCATGAATTCAACCATGTCTCATCCTTCAGTTTAGCAGCTACCATCAGGCCTTAGAGTAAATTCTCTCTCTCTCTCTCTCTCTCTCTCTCTCTCTCTCTCTCTCTCTGTTTTTTGAGACAGGGTTTTCCTGTGTAGCTTTGGAGCCTCTCTTGGAACTCGCTCTGTAGACCAGGCTGGCCTGGAACTCACAGAGATCCACCTACCTCTACCTCCTAACTGCTGGGATTAAAGGTGTGCGCCACCACCCAGCATTAGAATAATTTTTCATGGTGACCCTTCTGCCTCAGCCTCTTGAGTGCTATGATTATAGGTATGAGCAGCATGCCCAGATTTTTTTTCATATTTGAGACTAGATTTTGCTATGTAGACCCTCCTTCCCAGGCCTTCAGTGTGTGGGGACTTTTGTTCTTGAGGTCAACTTCCCAGAGGATCCACTACTTATTCTTCAGATTCATTCATGACCAGTGGATAACGGGATGCTCCCCTCATTTCAGAGACTTTCTGAGAAAAGGGAAGACATTTTGGAAGTTAAAGCTGGGTGTAGTAGCATGTGTTTGTGGTCTCAGCACCCAGAGGTCAGAGGCAGGGAGGCTAAGTTCTAAACTCCCTGAGGGTTAGCTGTGGAATACTCTTCTGCCCACAGCATGGCTGATGGGCTCAGGAACACAGCTGTAGTGGCTACCTGCCCAGGACTAGGCCATAACCATTCCACCGTGGACAGGGAGGGATTCATGAGGCCCTACCCCTTCCCTGAAGAGCTGTAGGCAATTAACAGTGGCTGGGATAGAGTCCTAGCCTCAGTGGTGGAGCTACTGGTAAGCTGCCTTTGCTCAAATAAATGTTTCCCAATGCTTATGCAAGCAGGGCATGACCAAGGTCATATGTGTGTGTGACCCTGAGAAAGTCAGGGTAGGACCAAGGTCATATGTGTGTGTGACCCTGAGAAAGTCAGGGCATGACCAAGGTCATATGTGTGTGCGACCCTGAGAAAGTCAGGGTAGGACCAAGGTCGTATGTGTGTGTGACCCTGAGAAAGTCAGGGCATGACCAAGTTCATATGTGTGTGCGACCCTAAGAAAGTCAGGGTAGGACCGAGAATTACTCCCCACCACTGCAGAAGTGGGGAAGAGTTTGGAGAAGGACAGTGCAGTGCTTAGGCAAAAATTCCCCAACAATGTGTCAGGCTGGCCACCCTGGAAGCATCTGTCACCAAGGTCTGGTGAGGCTGCTGAGCTGGAGCACTTATGCAGGCCCAGGATACGTGTAAAATGGGAACGGATCATTGAAGGCTTAAAGGCGGGAGAAGATTCCTCTCCTTCCTGGAACACGATGGTGACAATATCATTTCCGATGTGGCGTTTCCTTTCCACCTGTGAGGAGCATAAACAATGCAGTGAGAAGAGCTGCTCCCCCAGGGCACACTCAGGTAAAGCGCACTGCAGCAAGCCGCCACAGCCGCCCCACCGCTATGCCCTGACAAACTGTCTGCGTGACTCTCCCAGTGAGGCTTCTTCATTTCCTCTGGTCACCCTCAGCTCATGCTTCCTTGTCAGCCTCAGGACCTCCATTCCCAACAAACATTACTGCTTCTATCATGTTTAACAGGCTTCCTCATCCCCAGAGCTGTATTTGAGGTCCAAACAGGAGCACAGGAGGCCTACATGAGGGTGTCTGGGAGAGCACACACATATACCGGGGCTTCAAGCAGGCTATTGTGTGCCCTGCCATTGATCTATACTACCAGCTCACCTTAGTAATTTGCACGTTCATACTTGGTGACAAAACGTCTCTACAGAATTTGATCTCATGTAGACAAACATGCATACATACATACACACATACAAACAGAATAAATCAGTCAGTCACAAATAAGTAAATAAAAGGGCAGTCAGCTTTTCTCTCATTTCTCTCAGAACATATGCTTTTGGGGGGCCTGAGCCAGTGAAGAAGTGTTGATGAGGGAATCACTGAGAGACCTTGGGAAGCCTTCAGACTCCATGCTGTGGGGAAGGGCGGCTCTGCCTATGTCCCTGTCGAGCCTCTATTCCATGCCATAAACTCCTGGAGAAATGGCTCAGTGATTAAGGGTACTGCCTGCTCTACCAACTGAGGTGGTGTGTCTGTGTGTGTATATGTGCATCTTTGTATATATTGTATAGATATGTGTGCAATTATGTATTGTAGTGATATTTTATTTGTATTTAATAAAGCTTGCCTGAAGATCAGAGAGTAAAAGAGCTGCTCTGGTCAGTCTTACAGACCAGGCAGTGGTGACACACACCTTCAATCCCAGTAGCCACACTAATTTGCCATAGAAACTGGGCAGTAGTAGTGGTGCACACCTTTAATCCCAGCACTAAATAGGAATATAAGAGGAGGAGACAGCTCTCAGTCTCATTCTGAGGATTCCTGGAGGCAGGATTGCCATTTCAGACTGAGGTAGAGGTAACAGTGGCTGGTTGTTTTGCTTTTCTGACCTTCAGGTTGAACCCCAATATCTGTCTCTGGGTTTTTACTAATTGTGCTATAACTGCTTTTTCAGGGGACCTGAGATCAATTCCCAGCACTGACATTAGGCTGCACACAGTAGCCTGTAATTCCAGTTCCAGGGTACCTCATGTGGTACACAGACACATTCAGGCAAAACACCCCCTCCCCCCCACACAAAAAGTTTAAAAAGTAAGGAAGCAGGGAGGAAGATCAGGAGTTCAAGGCCAGCTTCAGTTACACAGTGAGTTCTAGGTTAATCTGAGCTGCTTGTGATGGTGTCTCTAAAAACAAATGTAACAACAGGGATGAAGAGAGACCTCAGTGGCTAACTGGGCATGCTGCTCCTGCAGAGGGCTGAGGTTGCATTCCCAGCACCAATGCCTGTGGCTCATAACAACCTGCATTTCCACCTCCAGGGGATCTGACGCTCTCTTTTGGTCTCTATGTGTGCTGCACTATGTGTGCACACATAATCAAAAAAAATAAAAGCAAACAAAAAGGAGTGAATCAGACATATACACTATAGCACAACCCTTAAAAATAAGGAGACTACTAGACGCCAGTTTCTAAAGACCATATATTGGGCTGGAGAGATGGCTCAGAGGTTAAAAGCACTGACTGCTCTTGCAGTTCAGTTCCTAGTACCCACTTGGTGGCTCACAGCCATCTGTCACTTCAGTTCACTGGATCTGGCATGGGCTCCATTGTGGGCTCCTGCATGGACATGGTACACTTATATTCAGGCACACACACACACACACACACACACACACACACACACTGCACATACATACAAACAGGCAAAACACTTATACACATTTAAAACAAGCCAAACTCCAGCAGTCCACATCTTTGTTGTATCTAAATTCCAATAAGTCGGAATTTTTTTTTTCCTAAAAATGGCCAACCTCTAGATGGGGAAGGAGAACTCCGGGGGACATTCCCAGCATGGCCAGCCCATGCAGACACTCAAGGTTAACTTCAACATCAGTCTGAAAGCCACTTTTAACACCACATAACCATCTATCTTAGAACTCCTCTTGACGTGATAAACACAATCGACCAAAATCATCTTGGGGAGGAAAGGGTTTATTTCGGCTTACAGCTACCACACTTCCATCTGAGGAAGTCAGGCAGGAGCTGATGCACAGGCCATGGAGGAGTGCTTCTTACTGGCTTGTCCCATGCCTTGCTCAGTCTGTGTGGGTTTTTTTGGGGGGGGGTTTGGATTGTTTTTTTTCTTGAGACAGGGTTTCTCTGTGTAGCCTGGCTGTCCTGGAACTTGCTCTGTAGACTAGGTTGGCCTCTGCCTCCTGAGTGTGCCACCACCTCATGGCTACAGCCTGTGTCCTTATAGCAGCCAGGACCACCAGCCCAGAGATGACACCACCCAATGGGTTGGGCCTTCCCACATCAATTATCAATTTAAAAAAATGCACCACAGGCCACTCTGGTGAGAGTATTTTCTGAACTGAGGTTCCCTCCTCCCAAATGACTCTAGTTTGTGCCGGGTTGACAGAAACTAGCCAGCTCACCAACTTACTTCATGCTCTAGAATCTCATTCTGACAAGGCCAAAGGCACACTGAGCGAAGCCACAGGGTGAAGGCATGTTACACACAGGACAGTCTGTAAGGCTTCTTGTGGTTTGAGGGGGTCTCCCAGTTACATGTGCTAGAAGCCTGCCTCCCAGCATGGTGTTGCTATGGGGTGGTGGTGGTGGTGTTTTGAGAGGCAGGGCCTGGTAGATGGTGATGAGGTTTTGGGAGGGGTTAATGCTTTTCTCGTGGGAGTTCATTTTTGCTCACTTAGGTCTGTCTGGAACCTAACCTGGATTTCTCATGCTTCCTCTTTGCCATGCAATTTCTTCTACATCTGCACCAATATGACGACACCATGAGTATCTCACTAAAGCCCAGTAAGCATCAGTGTTCTCAAAGCTACATGACTGTGAGCGGAATGAACCTCTTTTCTTTATAAAGTACCCAGTCCTCAAGTATTTGGTTATGGCAACACAACATAGACTAGTAAGTCTTTAAAACCACAGTCACACATGTACAAGTACATATATGTGTACACCATACGGTCACTAACATCTCTGACCCTTCTTTAGGTGACAGAGGCAGTAACAATATGCTTCCTAAGCCTTGTTCACCGTTCATACACACACTATAAAAAGTGTCAGAACTGGCCCTGGTAACTGAAGCCAGGCTCACAGTAACACACCTAGTCTCTAATTTATAAATCATTGCAATGGTCATCCCACATTCAGTCACTGTCTGACGGCTGTGTTTTCAAAGCCCCTGTGGTCACAAGTACCTGCTGTCTGTTCTCTTTGGAATACGGCAACATGGTGGAAACGTGAAACATGACCTCATGCCCTTGGTACACAGTATAGACTGAGTGGCTCCCTGTGGTGTTATCTGTAAAACACAAGAACACAGTCAGTGGGCATACAGAAGAAGGGTGCAGTACACAGTCCCTGTGGTGTTATCTGTAAAACACGAGAATGCAGTCAGGGTTATACAGAAGAAGACGTGCAATGAGTGCACAGTACATTCTCAAAGACCGCCTGGGTTCATCCGTGCTGGTG